AAGTTGATGTTTATAAGTGTAAATTGGCTATACCTGTATCTCTGCCTGTCAAGAATTGTTAATATATATAAGTTGATGTTTATAAGTGTAAATTGGCTATACCTGTATCTCTGCCTGTCAAGAATTGTTAATATATATAAGTTGATGTTTATAAGTGTAAATTGGCTATACCTGTATCTCTGCCTGTGAAGAATTGTTAATATATATATAAGTTGATGTTTATAAGTATAAATTGGCTATACCTGTATCTCTGCCTGTCAATAATTGTTAATATATATAAGTTGATGTTTATAAGTGTAAATTGGCTATACCTGTATCTCTGCCTGTCAAGAATTGTTAATATATAATCTCACTTTAAGTGATAGAAAGAGCTTTTTTTAGCTACAGGTCTCTGTTTACTACTATCTTAGTAATGGATAATTCTTTAAGTGTTTGTTTTTAGTTTGGAATATTATCTTGTACACTAATAGTTTCAATGGCTATTCGTTGGTAAAGAGTAACCTAAAAGTTGGCGGTGGGTGTTATTGACTAGCTGCCTTCCCTCTAGTTTATCACTGCTAAATTAAGGACGACCAGCGCAAATAGCCCTTGAGTAGCTTTGTGTAAAATTCAACGAAAAAACGCACAAGACTTTAATATATATTCATCTTTAGAGTTCAAATCTTTCTCGAGATCTGTTACAGATCATATTGCGATCTGTTACAGATCATATTGATAAAACACTTTCTTGTAAAATTTCTTCTCCGATTTTTTTTTATATTTTGTCCACAAAAGTTGTTTGTACAGTTTGTACAACCGTAGGCCTAAAACTCGGCATTTTGATGGAATAAAACATTAAGGATTTGATCGTAAGAAAATGGTGGAATGCACACGTCACTAACCTCAATGAATCAGACAGATTAGAGAGTGGTTTATCGTAAGAGGATATCTACGTTAAGATCCTAGTTAGCTTAAAATATGAGTTAGACCCTGACTTGGAGAACTCGCTCCTGTCTAGAAAGTGTCTGCACAATACCCGATTGAGGAAGCTTGGGAGGGACAGATAGGGGTTGGGTGTTGCTGCAGGTACTAACCACGAAGGTCAGTGATCCTAGCCTCTTTCAAGGACATCAAGGTCGTGAACTTTTACTTTCTTACTAATTTATATACATATATATATATTATCCACAAGACATTTTGTTTTACCACCCTACAAACCTGTTGCCACAAAGTGCAATAAAAACCTGTCATTTTGCAATTCATACCAAGCAATAACTGTTGCAGAACTGGTTTCTCAAAACGTGTAACCAAAGAACTACATAGTTGTCAAGATCACATCCAGATCATAAAAGCCCAATAGAAACTACACGTATATAATTTCTAATATAGCATCAAGTCATGATTGTATTATGCAAAGAACAAATGTATTAGTTTCCACTGAAAGAGAAAAAAAATAATCAGGCTTCCCATTCCCACCAGTTAATTATTACTTGTCTGGCACTATCACATGATCGCCCTCTAGTGGTTCATCGGTAAGACTGAAGGCCAGCAACGCTAAAATCCGGGTTTCGATACCCATGGTGGGCACAGTACAGTTAGCCCATTATGTAGCTTTGTGTTTAACAACAAAGAAACGAAAGTCGTGTACCTTTTATAATCCAACTGAAAGGAAAATCTTGTGAAATACACGAACTTGTATACCACATTGTGAGTGGGTCTACCATACCTGTTATCAACAAAGATATTTATGTGTGTGTGATTTTGTATCTGTATTTTTACTCGAATTCTTCAGAATAGTTATATTTACGAGAATAAACGTTCGGTTAAATGTCCCCTCAACCAACTGACTCTATCGTTACGGTTGATTATAAGTGGAAGTTAATAATAGTTCGAAAATTCAACTAATAATCTATATTGTAAGTTACCAGTTCTGATCGAAACTTAATGTTGAAACTCTACTGAATAACTTCGAAAATTTAACTAATAATCTATATTGTAAGTTACCAGTTCTGATCGAAACTTAATGTTGAAACTCTACTGAATAACTTCGAAAATTTAACTAATAATCTATATTGTAAGTTACCAGTTCTGATCGAAACTTAATGTTGAAACTCTATTGAATAACTTCGAAAATTTAACTAATAATCTATATTGTAAGTTACCAGTTCTGATCGAAACTTAATGTTGAAACTCTACTGAATAACTTCGAAAATTTAACTAATAATCTATATTGTAAGTTACCAGTTCTGATCGAAACTTAATGTTGAAACTCTACTGAATAACTTGGAACTTAGAGCATCGTTATAAACTCTAAC